ATATTATATTAAACTACAGTGTTAGAAAGGTTGAATACTCCATTATGTTTTTACAACAAAACATACTTATTTCAATATTATATTAAACTACAGTGTTAGAAAGGTTGAATACTCCATTATGTTTTTATAACATATCTTTTCCATTCCTTGATTATGATTATTTTATATTATTATTTGTCTGTCTCTGCCGACTCACGAGCTCCTCGGGTCCTAGACTAAATTAGTTTTCTGTTTGTTTTTTAATTAGATGCCACGTTGTCAGCAAAATGGAAAGGAAATCAGATATTCAAAATTTAAAAAAATAACGTTTGAAAATATGAATACTGAATTTGAATCAAATTTCCAGAAAACACGATGTACAGTGGGAAAATCGTCGAGCTGCTAGTAAGGCTGTACACATGTTTCCTAGTGTGAGAATAAAATACATATCTTCTAGTGTGAGGATAATATATATATCTTCTGGCGTGAGGAGAATATACATGAACATGTCTTCCACAATGAGGATAATGTATATTGGTATACCTTCTAGAGTGAGGATGATACTTATTAGTACGACTTCCAGAGTGAGGATAAAGTATATAACTCCTTGTGTGAGGATAATTTATACCACTATACCTTCTAGAGTGAGGATAATATATACAAGTATGTCTTCAACAGTGAGTATAATATATATTAGTATATCCCCTAGTATGAGGATAATATATATCAATATATCCCCTGGAGTGAGGATAACATATATTAGTATGTCTTCCACAGTGAGGATAATATATATATTAACATATCCCCCTAGTATGAGGATAATATATATCAATATATCCCATAGTGTGAGGATAATATATGTTAGTATATTTCCCAGTGCGAGGATAATTGATATATACATTAAGAGACATATGTTATCCTCACACTAGGAGATATAATGATTTATATTATTCTCATTGTGGAATACATATTAATATATATTATCCTCACACTAGGAAATACGATGACTTATATTCTCCTCACACTAGGAAATATTCTGATATGTATTATCCTCGCACTGGGAAATATACTAACATATATTATCCTCACACTAGGAAATATTCTGATATGTATTATCCTCGCACTGGGAAATATACTAACATATATTATCCTCACACTAGGAAATATTCTGATATGTAGGATCAGAATCAATATAACCCTCTATCCGATGGGTGAGGATTAATATAAATTGAAATGTCAATCACACTAAAGTAAAATATATATTTATACCTGTAACGTCATGCAATTCCATTAAATACAACGTCATGAAAGCATCACAAAAAGTTCTTGGTATTGCAGTTAGATGTGACATTATTTCTATACACAACAAGATTACGTAATGTTTTACTTAATTCTTTTTCCTATCTGATGAACAATGACTTAGTAATGTTTATTCATTTATTTTATTGACTACGACAAGAGCCTAGGCTTACGCAAGAACATTTATTCTAATGAGGTTTTTATTTGCTGTTGTTAAAGAGACACCTGGTAGACATAGCGATGACTACGAGGCTGTCAGCAAGAGAGCCAGTTCCAGAGGAATTATTCCCAGAGCCAAAATCAAGACCGTAAAAATGACGTTTGTTATTGTTTTTGGTAAGGATAAATTTTTGGATAGAGTACATAAAGTCCTCTAAAGAACTTTTCCTCACTACAATAAACGTGCTATAAAATGTCGGAATCCATCTTAGATGGTGATTTTTTTTTGTCAATTTAGAAACTTTCTTGAAACATTCGTGGGAAAATATTGAGATATTTAATTTAATTTTCTTTTACACTTTTCTATTGTATTTTTTTTTTTTACTACACACATATTTGGAGACCATATTGTATACAAAGCTGAACATCTCTGCTTTGATTTTATTGGAAATTTGATTAGAACATTTTATTTGTATCCTCTGAACACCATCAACTTCTTTTGGATAACTCACTGGAATTTTTTTCCCTCTCACATTTCTGTTACAGTTATTTAATAGTTTCTTCAAAATGTTCCCACAGAAGTTTATTCTCAAACTAATCGACTTTTATTCGAGTTTATCATTTGGAGGTGGAGACAGGCTAGGCTCCAATTGAGACAGTATTATTTTTATAACAAGGTGATTGAGTTCTGGAATGAGTTGCCTTCAGAAGTGGTAGAAGCTAATGTTTTATAATAGTTTAAAAGGAGAATAGATGGTTTCCTAAAAAAAAAAAGGTGAGTTTAAGTTTTACTGCTCCTGAAGTGGGAGTGTACAGGGACAGACTTGAAGGACCAAACGGTCCCTTGTTGTCAGTATATTTAGTCGCTTGGTCTTTATTTTTTTACGTTTGAACCCACTTCTCTGGGTTAGATTTTGATAGAAAGAAGCTCAACCGCTGAGTCTTTCTTATGTTTGAACCCAATTCTCGGGATTAGATTTTAGAGAAAGAAGTTCAATCCTTGGGTCTTTCTTATGTTTGAACCCAATTCTCGGGATTAGATTTTTACAGAAAGAAGTTCAATCCTTGGGTCTTTCTTATGTTTGAACCCACTTCTCGGAATTAGATTTTTACAGAAAGAAGTTCAACCACTGGGTCTTTTTTATGTTTGAACCCACTTCTTTGGGTTAAATTCTTATATTGGATTTATTTCATATTAACAGTGAAGTTTAAAGTATTTGGTAATGAAACCCTATGGGATGTATTTCATGCTAGCCATGAATTTTAAAGTATTTTTGGTACAGGAACGTCTCCTTTTCATTTTGCAAATTAGAATAAAAACATTTAGTATTTGAAAAATTATCACACAATGATCATGTAGGGCCCCGGCATGGCCAGGTGGCTAAGGCGCTCGACTCCCAATCTAAGAGTCGCGGGTTCGAATCCCCGTCACCAAACATACTCGCCCTTTCAGCCGTGGGGGCGTTATAATGTGACGGTCAATCCCACTATTCGTTGGTAAAAGAGTAGCCCAAGAGTTGGCGGTGGGTGGTGATGACTAGTTGCCTTCCCTCTAGTCTTACACTGTTAAATTAGGGACGGCTAGCGCAGATAGCCCTCGTGTAGCTTTGCGCGAAATTAAAAACAAAACAAAACAATGATCATGTAATGAGAATTTATAAAAGTTAAAAAATGCACCTTCTGTTTCTTTTATCATTTTATATTCTAAGAATTTGTTTTGCTTCAATTTGTGGACATGAACGGATGACATTCTTTGGTAAGACAGCACCCAACAGATGGACCGACGGACATAACAGAGGGGTGTATATGTAAATAAACGGAGGGGCTTACACATGTAGTAGAAAAACAACAACAACAACAACAAACAAACAGAAATTGCTCCACGCTATTAAGCACTCTTTCTTGATTTCAGTGTTCATCTTATGCTGGAGTCCTTACTTTATCTACGACCTTCTCCAGGTTTTTGGATACTTTTCTCTTAACCAAACTAACATTGCAATCTCAACATTTATTCAAAGTCTGGCTCCATTAAACAGTGCTGCTAACCCTTTTATTTACTGCATTTTCTCCACTCGTCTGTGTCGTACGTTAAGGTAAGTGGGGAGAAACCTAGTTATTCTAAGCCATTTTGGTCTTGTTATACTTTATAAGCCGTATTTGTAATTCTAAAAATAGCTTATGTGTTTTCTTATTAGAAATTATAAAAAAAATCAAACGCAGAGAACAGGGAGGTTGATATACATGGCAATCAAAGTAAAAGGGTTTTGACGATATTTATATTTTGATTAAAAATATATTTGTTCAATGTTGTTAAAAATTCTGATTTCCAAAGATTACATCTAAAAGCACTCTACAGAATTACTGAAATCCAGAAAGTCTTCCCGGATTCTAAAAATGATCTTTATAAAAAACACTTTATTATATTTTGAAGATCACTTAATTAACATGTAAACCATTTCGTTAAAAATACACAAAAATGCGTACGTGGCGCTATGTATTGCAAACTGGATGAACACATGTACTTCTCGTCGTGTTATCTGCTTTTCAGCCGCGGCATAGCGGCTCATAGAATGGCGCTAGTTTTTTTTTTTTTTCAAGTACAAAGTTTTAGTTCATAGCTCCATCTATTGACCGATTTGAGATCTATTGACAGCCGCGGCTTTTGAGAATTCGCCCTTGATTTTTTGTAGATATTGTACACACAAATATATTTTTTATTATGTATAGATGTTGGTAGTACTAGACAGTGTTTTATTAAAATACTATTAAAAAATGAAAATTAGCCGGTGTAATAGAAACAAATTAATCTCAATTGAACTGAGTTATTCCGTTCTGATTTAAAAAAAAATACAAAAATTTCCCACTTTTAATTTTAAAAAATCCTGATTTCAACTTTTCTAAATTATCTTAGCAGCTTTTCTTGCTGTCGCTGGTTTTCTCAGCCAAGTCATATTTGTCGTTCGAGATCGAAGCGTCCTCTACGATCTGATACAGTCAGTCGAACTTCACGTTCCACAACAACAACAAGTGAAATTCTTCTGAGGTCATCAAGGCTTTCGACAACCCGTCAGGTGTCTTTAACAGCACAGCCCTCTGTCTCATTGTGTATGAAGGATATTTCCAAGGCAACTAACAACGGAGAAAAGTACGGAGCAGCCTCAAGAGTCTTCACAACCGTCACTGAGATAACACATCACGGATATACATTTTAAAATATGGCAGAAAATGTAATAGGGCCTTTGTTATTTGTAAAACAACAACACATAACAATGTGGGCCAGTTGAAAACGTATAATCAATACGGCCCGGCATGACCAGGTGGTTAGGGCGCTCGACTCGCAATCTACGGGTCGCGGGTTCGAATCCCCGTCCCACCAAACATGCTCGCCCTTTCAGCCGTGGGGGCGTTATAATGTGACGGTCAATCCCACTATTCGTTGGTAAAAAGAGTAGCCCAACAGTTGGCGGTGGGTGGTGATGACTAGTTGCCTTCCCTCTAGTCTTATACTGTTAAATTAGGGACGGCTAGCGCAGACAGCCCTCGTGTAGCTTTTCGCGAAATTCAAAACAAACTACTCAGTGCAGAAGTTTTAAAGGGTTTAATCCATAAGTCTAGAAGCACTGTGACGTTAAATAAGCAATATTCTGATTGATTGACGCAAGGACTTCCAACCTATGAGTGATCAGAATTGAAATTTAGTTGAGTGCGAGGACAGTTTAGTAAAAAAAAAAACACCATTATTGTAACTTTGAAAATTTTAAGGAATTTTGTTATAATTAAGAAAATATTGATGTTTGTTTAGAACGTTGTTAACAATGTTTGTGGGACAACTTTACCTAACCCAGCATTTCCTAAACTTTTGTCATCCACGCCCCCTTTTTAATAAATATGGTTTCTTGGGTGTCCTCTTTTTTCTTTTCTTTTTTAATGAGTGAAAGTTTGTTTGTTTGTAATTAAGCACAAAGCTACACAATGGGCTATCTGTGCTCTGCCCACCACGGGTATTGAAACCCGGATTCTAGCGTTGTAAGTCCGCAGACATACCGCTGTGCCACTGGGGGGGGTGCATGAGTGAAAAGAGTGAGTTAAGGGACGAGATATATAATACACGAGATATAATTAAAATGCTATACGTGTTGTAATAATTATCTATCATTTTCATTTATAAAAAAATGTATTCAAACGTTTGATATTGCACTATTGACTAAACCCTAATCGTTCGCGCCCCACACTTTGAGAAACTTTGACCTAACCTATAAAAAATAAAACAAGTAAAGTTAATTTTGTTTCTTATATCATGATTCAGAATTCGCTCCGTGATAATCTTTAATAACGATTTTAGTCAGATGCTGTTTGCTGTGTAAGTTGGTCCTCATTTAATGGTTGCTCACATCAATGTAGTCTGGTCAACAATGGGAGTCAAAAGGGTTAGTTTACACGAGTTAGAACTTTACATGACTAGGAGTTCTAGCTGCAGTAGTTTGGTGATTATTTCTCAGTTAATTGTCATAGTTTGGTTAGTATTTCTCAGATAATTCCCATAATTCTGTGTTTGGTGCAGAAGTATGTGAAGTGATTATAAATACAAGTAAATATAAGATCAAAAACAATGTTTTCTAGACAAGATAATCAACAGATAGAAACATCGTTCTAATAGTTGAAAACTGACTTGTAAGACGTAGTGAGTTTAGGGTGATATATGTGAGAACAAAATTTGCAATGATTGGAAATTCATATCACGATTATTTGGAAACAGTGTGTAATGTGTGATAATTGTAGTCAAGGTTACCAGGAAACAATGTGTAATGTGTGATAATTGTAGTCAAGGTTACCAAAAAAAACAACGTGTAATGTGTGATAATTGTAGTCAAGGTTACCAGGAAACAATGTGTAATGTGTGATAATTGTAGTCAAGGTTACCAGGAAACAATGTGTAATGTGTGATAATTGTAGTCAAGGTTACCAGGAAACAATGTGTAATGTGTGATAATTGTAGTCAAGGTTACCAGGAAACAATGTGTAACGTGTGATAATTGTAGTCAGAGTTACCATAAAACAATGTGTAATGTGTGATAATTGTAGTCAAGGCTATCAGTAAAAACAATATGTAATGTGTGATAATTGTTGTCAAGGCTATCAGGAAACAATATGTAATGTGTGATAATCGTTGTCAAGGTTACCAGGAAACAATGTATAATGTGTGATAATTGTAGTCAAGGTTATCAGAGGGTAGGAAGTAATGTATAAATCGATGTTCTTGTCAAGTTCTTAGGAAACAATGTCCAGTGTCAAGATGCTTAGGAGACAGGGTTGCTAGATATGACAAACAAGGTGAGAAGTGATGTATAAATCAATGTTCTTATATAAAATGTCAATACAGCTTGTACCCGGTGATAAAACAGTTTTAGTCAGAGAAGTAATGTATAATTCAATGTTCTTATATAAGATGTCAATACAGCTTGTACCCGGAGATAAAACAGTTTTAGTCAGAGAAGTAATGTATAAATCAATGTTCTTATATAAGATGTCAATACAGCTTGTACCCGGAGATAAAACAGTTTTAGTCAGAGAAGTAATGTATAAATGAATGTTCTTATATAAGATGTCAATACAGCTTGTACCCGGTGATAAAACAGTTTTAGTCAGAGAAGTAATGTATAAATCAATGTTCTTATATAAGATGTCAATACAGCTTGTACCCGGTGATAAAACAGTTTTACTCAGAGACGTAATGTTATTCTAGTGATGAAACTTGAAATATCGTTATTAAGTTCGACTTAAAAAAGTTTTTTTTCCCCTGGTGATACATTTCTAAAATAATAATAATAATAACATTACTCTGAAACCTTGAGTCAGTATAAGTATTTCATATAAACTTGGAATGATTTCTTCCTCCGGCAAAAGCCAACAAATGTTTTCCTGTCGTTTGCCACAACTTGGTTACATCTTGTATAACCGCAAAATAACAATTTGTTTATGAAATGTTTCTAGATCCTGTGTGCTATAAAACTAACCATATTTTATAGAGCCTAATCCATTAAACAGAATCTTTAATAAAAACCTACAGAACCGAAAAACAACAAACAAAGGATTTGTCATAGTAAAGTATGATTTAGACAGTCTACACTGTTTGAAGGGTAGTTTATAACACAGAGTTTTGTATGATTTAGACAGTCTACACTGTTTGAAGGGTATATTATAACATAGAGTGTTGTATGATTTAGACAGTCTGCACTATTTGAAGGGTATATTATAACATAGAGTGTTGTATGATTTAGACAGTCTGCACTATTTGAAGGGTATATTATAACATAGAGTGTTGTATGATTTAGACAGTCTGCACTGTTTGAAGGGTAGTTTATAACACAGAGTTTGTATGATTTAGACAGTCTACACTGTTTGAAGGGTATATTATAACATAGAGTGTTGTATGATTCATACAGTCTGCACTGTTTGAAGGGTAGTTTATAACACTGAGTT